GAGGTAATTAAAAAAGTTTAATAATGACATAGATGCTGACCTTAATTTTTTATTAAAAATAATAACGTACGATGTTCTTTTACAATGCGTTCCCATATGCGGTAAAATTTCGCAACGCTTTCTATTAATAATGTTTCCTTTTGATTAATTTAACGTTCACTTTGAGCAAAACTAATATTGTAAATCTGAAGAATACACAAAAAATAGAGTTTCGAAAGCCATATATATGTACCTAATTGATTTAGAATGTCTGAGAGTCTCATTCCATTACTTTTAGAAAATCTTTCCTCCATTCAAGATTAAGGATACAAGTCCTCTACAAATAATGTGAAAACTGTTGAGAGAAACTCAGAAAAGTTGTTAAATTTAAACCATTTTCGACATTTCATTTTATTAAATTAATGTCTTGATTATCGACATCGTATAATTTTGTACTTTTAAGAAGAAATGTATATAATTTGTCCACGATTTCTCGTGGTAAATGCGATAAAAAATACAGTTCTGTAAAGTTCTTTCAACTATCTGCCGCTGTGTAGCAGTCAGGTTGTCATAATCTATCGCAACTATAACTACGCAGTTCAATGATGTCGAGCTTTACACCAATGGTATTAGTTGTAATGGTATTAGTAAGCACGATTTTTGTAACGCGTTTACGAGTTCTATTAAAACAAGTTTTCTCAGGAATTATAGCTATGTGTATAGACTTGTAACTAATACGTTAACGAAATACAAAATTTCATCCAAAGTAGCAGCAGTTTGTGAGAATATATATAATATATATATATATATATACATATATATATATATATATATTCTCAAAACTTTTTGCGCAGAGTAGTTACAAAAAATGGTACTCATCAGTGCCCACAACTACTAAGTTTTAAGTTTGAAATGTCATTATAAGACTATTTTTTTTATAGAAGAAAACGCCCCTGTTAAGTGATTACCGCCCCATGATCCCGCAACACCAGGGGAATTGCAGGTGCGTTGCCGGCCCTTTAGAAAGGAGTAAGCTCTTTTCTTGAAGGCCCCAGGTCTCTCCGGAAAAATCGCCTGAGGCCAAACTCCCTACAGGTGACCGCCAAGCATCCATGGTGTGGATGGTATCGGGACGTTTGCCGCATAGTGCATCCACGAAATTTGGCGGCTGGGATTAATCCGAACAATTCCTCAGAGCACTCTCCATGGTATATGCGAAAGAAAATGCAAAGAGATGCAACATCTCTTCGCAATGCCAGTGAATCGAGCCGATTGGAAAGCACTCGGTCGTCGACGATTCGAGCCGCTCTACGCTGGATGCGGTCAAGTAGAAGGAGCTGGTACTGGGGAGCCCCAGCCCAGAGATGGGAACAGTATTCCATGTGCGGCCTAACCTGCGCCTTGTAAAGTTGCAGGCGTTGTGCCGGCATGAAATACTGTTCCGCTCTGCTGAGCACGCCAAGCTATTTAGAGGCCAATTTGGCCTTCCCTTCCAAATGACCACGAAACTGCACGTCACTCGATATGTCGACGCCGAGGATTCCAATACTGGCTGAGGCAACAAGGGGAGTGCCTTGAAACTGAGTGGATACGACAAAGGGGTTCTTTTTAGCGGTTAACACGCAAACTTGTGTCTTCTGGGGGTTAAACTGGACTAGATTTAGTCGCCTCCAATCCGAGACTCTGTTCAGCAAAGACTCGACTTCAGACACAAGTTTATTCCGCCACTCGGAGACGTTTTCCCGAGAAATATTGACTCGGCCGGTGTAAAGAGCATCACCAGTGCTGTCATCTGCATAGCAATGAATGTTACGGGTTTGCAACATATCATTGATATGCAGAAGAAACAGCGTTGGCGATAGCACGCAGCCCTGTGGAACACCAGCATTAATAGGCTTGCAATCGGAGCTTGCACCGTCAACAACGACCTTGATGCTCCAATCTGCAAGAAAGCTGGTGATCCAATCGCACAATTTCTCGGGAAGCCCATAGGAAGGGAGCTTCGAAAGAAGCGCTTTGTGCCAAACCCGATCGAAGGCCTTCGCAATGTCCAAACTAACGGCCAATGCCTTCCCCTTGGACTCTACTGCCTCCGCCCATCTGTGAGTTAGGTAGACCAGAAGATCACCAGCTGACCGACCACGGCGAAAACCGTATTGGCGGTCACTAATCAGCTGGTGATCTTCAAGGTACCTCATGAGCTGGCAGTTTACAATGGACTCCATTGTTTTGGAGAACAAGGAGGTGATGGCGATGGGCCGGTAGTTGGACGGGTCTGAGCGGTCGCCTTTTTTAGGGATCGGGTGGACGAAAGCCGTCTTCCATGATTTTGGGACTACGCCTAGGGAGTAGGAGTAACGGAAAAGATGCGTTAAAACCGGTGCCAACTCTGGATCATACGTCCTTAGCACAATTGGGGGGATTCCGTCAGGCCCACTCGACTTGTGGATGTCCAGAGAGAGGAGTGCTTTGCGAACCGTGCGCTGTGTGAACTGCACTTCCGGCATGGAGCACTCACACCACGGGATGGTCGGCGGCGTATTCCCCCCCATGTCGAGTTAGACGAAAGAAAGAGCCTAGAAGATCGGCTTTCTCCTTTGCGGTATGGGCCAGTGAGTCGTCCTCCCTGTGCAGAGATGGAAGAGATGGCTGACAGAAATTCCTCTGGACAGCCTTGGCGAGAGAATAGAATGCACGGGTTCCAGAAGGAAGGCGAACTAGTTTCCCCCAATTCTGCCTATGTGCTCTGACTTTGCCTTGGCAATGACTCTTTTGAAGGACCTAGAGGCGGAATTATACTTCTTATTTAGAGCGCTGGTATTTACACCCCGGGACGCTGATGCGTCAGCCCAGGCCTGGTAGCACTCCTGCTTATAGCATGATGCTATTTTACAGGAGCGACCAAACCATGGCTGAGATTTGCCTCCAATGGGCACCACAGAGGAAGGAATAAAAAGTTCCATACCCTGAAGGACCTCATCAGCGACAGAATTCGCAACAACGTTGGGATCGTCCGGCGAGAAGCAAACTTGCCCCCAAGGGTAGGATGCAAAGAAAGACCGCATCCCATCCCAATCGGCTGACCTATAGTGCCAGACACGGCGGCAGCCTGCATAATGCAACCGGATTCACGTATGACCACACTCCGGACAAGACAATGGTCCGAGGAGCCTAAAGGGGCATCGACGGAAATCTGATATCCGTCCGGGTGAGAGGTCAGCAGACGGTCCAACAGGGAAGGTGCATGATCCTCCACATCTGGAATCCGCGTAGGGGAAGTAACCAGTTGTGTCAGACCATATGCCAAGGCAAAATCATGAACAGATCTCCCCACATGATCGGTTAAAGGTTTTTTTTGCAGGTATATATGTAATATATCTCTTAATGAGGTTTAGTCTATTCGGAGTACATAGATAAAAACACTGTGGAAATCAATGATTTTTATTTAAATTTATATCAGAACTAACAAATATTCGACCCTTAGAATAGATTAAGTTACAAAAGCATAGACTTGCCGGTCATGCGATGAAATTAAAGACTTATTTTGTATAAGATTTCTAACGCACTCATAACGAATAATTAAAAAAAGTTATACGTGGAATGATATCGTGATTGGTTGATGATAATATAATTGTTTATGGCGTTAAAACGTAGATACGCTTCAATATTTTTTTGCTTTGAAATAACGATTTGGGGTCGGAGTATAACGTCACAGTTCCTGGGTTAGAACTCCTACCGGAGTTATTATTTTAGCAAAAAGATTGGTCCATATCAGATTTGCAATGTCTTGCAAAAGTCGTCGTGACATGCACTCCGGCATCTGAGCCGACTTCCGATCTTATCTCTTAAGATTTAGATGAATTCATGATTTCATTCTTCTCTCCCTCTCCACTATCGGACAACCAGACGATCGGCACCCATTTATTGTCGATATTCCACGCGTTTGAACCAAACAGTTTGCTTCGTCTTTAGTAATGCAAACAACAAAGGAGTAGAATAATTTCCCGGCGTCTGTCTCTTACATAATACACAAATACCGGGTGTCGTAAAGGAAAGAGTGAATAGTTTATTGTTACACTTTGACACTGCAAGTTACCATCTAAGGCTATATTTACCACCAGTGAGATTATAATCGAGCAGTGCTTGACGAAAGCAAAAAGATTCCCTTACTAAAGGCAATGCTTAGAGTTCTAATATTTTATAATTTGCATTGGCATAAGGCGTGTCTGTGGGTTACTTAACACTGTATATTTTAGTATAAGTTTAACAGGCTGTACGTGGGTTTGATGTGTGTAATTATAATTACGAGAGTATTACTATTTAATACGGATATTAGTATACAATGTAACTTCTAAGCTATAAGACAACAAATGTATACAGAAAATACAAACAATTATGTTTAAGTGTAATAAAATAAATTTGGAGAATCTCTGTATTTTGTTGAAAATCGTTTTATTCTTAATACCTGTCATTCAAGCGAGCTTACAAATAAGCCGATAGGCAATCCCATCGCCCTGTTAATACTCTTTGCTCCTGTTTGTTTCCGACGACATCTTTTATCTCATACAAATGGTCTTAATTTATACAGCCTAGCGTCATGAGGCAGTACCAGTCGGTTATAACGATATCGAAGGGACCACATATAAGGATTGTACCTATGTAATATTATGCATAATACTCAGTGGCGGATTTACAGTCTTGGCCGCCCTAGGCTATTTAGTGTAAGCCCCTATTTCATAAATGCTTGTCGTGAATAAACAAGATAAAATACAATTATTATGTACCGTCACTGTAAATAGGTTTCAAAAAACTTTGTGCTAATTAAGTTCAGATTTATTGCTTATAAATTTTTAATTAATAATATGAGAAGAAAAATTTATCCACGAGCGGATACAATTTTCTTCTTATATTATTTATTTAAAAAAACTATCAGCAACAATTTAACATGTGATTCATATTAAAATAAATATCTTTATAGCTTCAGATTTATTCACAAACAAATAATATAAGTATATAACGTGTTACAAAACGCGTCTACACTTAAGTGCAGCAAAATCATTAATTAACTCTTCGCAATCCATTTTGCTTAAATAATCCGCTTCTATGTTGAGTAAAGCAAGATCTTTTAGTCTTTGCTCTGTCATTGTTGTGCGTAAATAATTTTTAACTCACCGCAAACAAGACAATGATCTTTCTCCTGAACAGTTACTGGCGGGAGTACACACATACGCAGAGCGATATCCACACTTTGGGTAAATGGTTTCAAGTTCTTCAGTTCGTAGCCATTCCAACAAACTGACAGCACTCTTCTGATCCTCATTGTTTAAACTGCGAGTACGAAAATGGAGACATTCTTCTGGAAAATTTTCTTCTATGTCCGTAGAAATTTGAATTGAATTGTATGCTTCGGCTTTTTCTTCGACTTCTGAGGTGCTTAGTTTCGTCAGCTTGGTTATAAAATAAAATTTATTATGAAGTTCCTTATAAGCGTCCCGTCGTTTTTGGAGTTCATTTGTTAATGTATTAATTATCATCAAAAAAGTAGTAATTCTGAGGCTTTCTCGGCTATTTATTAGTTGCAACACTTCACCTGTATTAGTCTCACCCGCAAGTAGCTTACGATTTCGATTGCGTCGAAAATATTTTTCATATTCCTGTACAAAGCACAGGTTTTTGACCGTATTTTTGAATTCTTCGATACTATGACGTCTTTCGCTAATAAATAGTATTAGTGTGTTATACAGTTCTATGACAATGGTAACGTCAATTTCCACACTCTGGAGTTTCTTACTTGTGGAATTCATGCGATAAAGTAGATACCCCTAAAATACTGTCATAAAGGCCGTTTCAAGACGTTCCATTTGCAGACGAATACCAAATAACGGCTTTCTTCTGCTGTGTGTCATTTTCAACGGAGACCAACGCACCATGTATTTCATTCTACGATTCGCGTAAACTTTTGCACGCATCTGCACGAGCTGATCTACGAGTCGTTGATAGACTTTTGACGGTAAAATAGGCTTGAAGGAGTCCCCAATGCTGAGTTGATGCCGCGAAGAAATTGTATTATCCTTGCAGTAGACAAAAGAACGAGCAAGCTTCTTGGCTACTTTCAGCTGCACATTCACCTAACAAATTAAGCGAGTGTGCTGAGCAAGGTACATATTCGGCTAGAGGAGATTTTTTTTATTTTAACCTGTAGGCCGTTGTATATGCCTGCCATGTTGGCTACGTTGTCATAACATTGCCCTCGGCAGTTTGAAATATCAATCCCAAATTCAGATAAAGTTGAGGTAGCAGCATTTGTTATTCGTTGTGATTTATGGCATGTGTTGGGAATAAACCTGAGAAAATGTTCTACAGGTGATCCATGAGGCAGAATATAGCTCTATATAGAGAGCTTATAGCTCTAAGGACATCAAATAATCCCTATTGTGTAATGAACCTATTTTCTCGTCGTGCTCTATGAGCGGCAAACCACGTGATGCAAGCGCTTTTACACATGCAACAACCCTCTTCAAAATGTCTCTCGAATAATTTATTTCTTCATCCAATTGTATAGTTAACACGTGGTCAATGCGACCTAAGACGTTGCTTCTATCAGTTTGTGGGTAGGCGAATTCTTATGAGCTGATACTCGATAACTAGATTTTTTCCAGTCATTAAAACCTTCCTTTTTGTCGAACTAACTCTCCCCGCCATTAAAAAGAAGACAGGGCCCACGAAAAAAACTTCCAGTACTTTCGGAATAAATTAGCCACTTACTCGGAACTTTTTCGCCATTTACAAGCTGACGTTCGAATAAGTGTTCGGACAAGTGACGTGCTTTATGTTTGTAAATCCGTTCACTCTTGGGAAAATCGTTTTTGATGTTTTGATTGGCTCCGTTCTTACAAATGTAATCACGCGTGAAATCGTCGATTATCCATTTGTTTGGATCGTCGCTAATTTTGCACAGCCTCTGGTCCGAATTGGGTTGCACTCTTGGTACTGGTGGGACTTCTTCAGCTTTTTCCTTTGACCCACTTGCGAAAACTACCAAAGTACTTGCGCTTGAAGATACTGAAGCACTATCAGTTGGCGTAGCACCGCTACATATACTTTTCTCATGATCTTCAGCGTCTGTAGAAGGTTTTCCAAAGAAATTGTCTAATTTTCGACTTTTTTTAATCACATGTTTTTGCTTATCTTCTTTTTCTTTAGCCCGCTTGCAATACTCTACCCCGCTAAAACTTTTCTTTCCATCCATCATATAACACTTCATGAGGCTCTATTCTGTAATATTCATGCTGTGTTACTCAGCGACGAGTCCAGGTTGGGTGTAGGAGGAGGCGCGCGGGGCGCGGATGGTGTGACAGAACTCACGTAAACGCACGAACGATGCGTCCCCCGTCCGCCGCCCCGCCTGCCCGCCGTATAGCCAGCATACTAGCGTTTATAATTTAAAATGGTGTATTTTTTGCCACGCATGGCCGCTCTTAATAGCTGGCCGCCCTAGGCCTGGGCCTACTAGGCCTTAAGGTAAATCCGCCACTGATAATACTACATAGTTACAATTATTACATAGGTACCACTTAATAATATTAACGAAATTTATATCGGTTTCTGTTTAAATGTACTAATTTGAAAATAAAAATAATGTTTGTTTGTGTTTATATGGGATCTCGTGTGGGACCTATTGAGTCGCAATAGCCCATTCGTCGTTTGCCTTGGCATGTGGTCTGACACAACTGGCTACTTCGCCTACGCGGATTTCAGATGTGGAGGATCATGCACCTTCCCTGTTGGACCTTCTGCTGACCTCTGAGCGATGTCGGTATATCAAATCTCGATTATTTTAATAAAATAATGTGTTATTTGCCGTCTAGTGGCGTCGTAGGAGAATCCACTTACATTGCTAAAGTCGACAGAGGGAAATTTATAACAGGAAGTGAGCAGAAGCATTTTCCTAAAAACAGTGGAAAATAAAAAAGAGTGCAGTTGCCAAACTGCCTGCCAGGTGTGGAAACGGTGGCAAGAATCCCCTAATGAGTTGAAAATTATAAATATGATTTTTTTATATTGAATAAGGGTAACAAACGAGACACAGTCCACCTGATGGGATTGATGCTGTGATCCATAGACATCTATATTTATCTTCGATTAAGAATAAAAAAGCGGAAAGCGTTGTCACTCCTGAGGACTAAGATTAAATGCCTCGTTTCCAGTAAAAAGTGTCTACAGTTCTTTACACTCACTATACGAAACACAGTAGCATTAAGCTGTTATTTCATGCTGGTAATCTGTGTGTGAGCGTGGTAGTCTCCGGTCGAGACGACCTATTCGAGCTACAACCTGACTATAGCTGCAGCGTGGTTCCACTACTATTTAGAACATCACGCGCTGATGAGAATCATATTCTACTGGCTAATTTCAACAGCAGCCTCCTCTTTCAACCATTTTACTAACGATTACGAAATTAAAATGTTGATGGCTTTTTTAACTTTATTATGGTTGGTGTGAATTTTCAGCAGCGTCGTTTTACGAAAAAGAAGGCACTGGCTATAAGTTATTAGAAGAGTAATATATGACGTACTCTTATTTATTTGTTAAGTTTTCGACCAGTCAATCTTCGTGAGTAAATATGATCAGGTTGTGTACTACTCGCACTCAAATTAAATATTTCGCTTTCTACATAAAATATTTATTGAAGGTAAATAAGTTTTGATGTTTAATTTAGTATTTTAATTTTTGTCAAATTCATGAAAATTGTAAGTTCGAATTCAGTGACAAATATCTCGAATTACTTCTATTGAATATACTTATTTCATGTTTTAAATTTATTTTATCAAAACTATATCAACTTTAATAACGCATATTGCATATTATATAAATACCATACACATTACACACATTTCCGACTTCAGGACAATTTTCTCTTCATAAAGACATATCGGAAGACGTGCCTGACATAAAAAGGTGTTGCTTGATATGATATTTATGCGATTCTGATAAACTAACTTATGTTTGTGTAGACAATAATATTTCCATTATAGACACAGATACCGACGTGTCTAGCTAAAAGTGATCCAGTTTTGATAATTTTAGTACGAATTAGTATTATAGATGTTTCTAAATTAAAGCCCACGCGAGCAATGCTGCAGGTAAAAAGCTAGTGTTATAATATAATCTAAGCTTCGGGCCTATTCCTGTCGTCAGTCGCTAGTGCATATACGTTGTTTAAAAGGTCTTGTATCTACAAGATGTTATGCAATACATCTTAGTACATATAAGTAGGGGACAACGCATTAGCACTCTTTGTTTGAATTTAGTTGCCTGTAATCATGTTAATATTCATATTTATAAGTCTCGACTGCCTCGTTGAACGCGGCTGCAGTTTATGATGTCCCTGATTCGAATCTTGAGTCGGTCATAAAAAACGGTTACTGATTTTCTTCTAAGAAGTTCTGAGTTTTTTCATCCTCGAGCCACGATTCAAATACCTAATGTCTGTAATTAAAATAAAACGCTAGGAGCCGTAGTTGCTCAGGGGTTAAGCTAAGCGCTTGCCGTAAATTTCACAGTACGCGAGTAACTTGGGGTTCGAGGCCGGTTTGCACAAATCATATTGCCAATTGCTATTTTAGGTGACATTTTTTTTCGACGACGTCGTTAGGAAATCTGAATGTCTGAGTAATTAAAATAATTTATGAAAACTAAACAGTTAAATAAAATCATGCAAAGAGATTGTAACAGTAAAAATCATTTACAAAAATAAAAAATAAAATAAAATTTTGCTAATTTACGAGTAAAGCTCCGACTTCAGAAGCAATTATCTGAAAACTATTCTTTTGAAGTCGATTTAACTTTTTATTAAAAAATTGTTTTACTCTTCTGAGCGGTATCACATATTCAAAGTAACAACTAGAACGTGGTTTAAATTGGTATTAAAATCTTCATCGCCAATTTTCACACCATTAGGAATGGAATTTTTGTTTAAATTTATCTGCGACCACCAAACTCTAACCTATCTAATAAAAAAAGTGATCATTTAAATCAGCTTTGTGGTTTTAGAAAAATCGGTGAACAAACATAAAAAAACATACGCGTTGAATGTTTAACGGCCGAATATTGAAATGCTACTCGATTTTAAGATGTCGAAAGTCTCGTGGTGTCACAGTCGCTTTGACTTAAAGTGATAGAGACAGCACTAGACTTAACGGCAACTAAACATTTAGCAGCATTTGAGTATTTGAGCAGCATTATAGTTTTTAACACGCTTTATTAGCTTCGCGTATATCTGCCTATCTATCTATGTAACGGAATATTTTGAAGTAATTTTCACCAGCTTCTGAACGGCCGATCGACTTGAAAGTTGGCATTCATATCAAGAACCGATGATAATACAATAATTTAATAATTTTTTCCAATTATCATGATCAGCATCACCAGGATAAAATAAAGTAATTATCAGGGTCATCCCAGCTCATTATCTACGCATCTTGTAAGTTTTTTAACCTCTACTATTATTTAATAATCTTAAAGATCTTAATTTATTATCAGTATTTTAGTTAACTCAGTATTATGTTACTGTATTCATATTGCGATTGTAACATTTAAGATAGAGGTTTTGTTCCATTGTACAAAATCTCACAGCTTTGTATACGTCAAAAGCAAATGCTTGATGAGGGTTACATTATATCAGACAAACGACGTAAGCGGCTTCACCCAGGATCTGCAATACGCATTTATTCCGGAAACAAAAGAATCAGTTCGTTATTAAATAAAAATTTTTTTTACAGAAAACAGAAATAAAATCGAAATCAAGGAATATCACAAAATACAATGCGATTTTGTTAAATGTATATATTTATGTAATATATAAAAAAGAAAACTTTGTAGTAGGTAGGCTTAACCGTTTTCTAAAATCAAAAAAGTTGCGACATTCTAAATAAAACCTAATTTAAAAACTTGATGTTGAACTGATCACTATGACCCTAAAGGTAAGAAGGTGTAAGTTTATATGATATTTAAATAAATTCTATTTTATTCATTAAGTAATGTTTCAGGTAATAATGAGATAACGTCGCAAAGAAAAGTCATAAAATCGAAAAATTTAATAACTTGGAAATTTTCAATTTCCTCAAAATTCTTCAGTAAAATAGTTTATCTCTTGTTAAATTTAAATGCCAACACTCTTAAAGTTTATAATTTAAAAAGCGACAATTTGGAATTTGGAAATGAACATTGTTACGACGACGAAAACTGCGTAACAAAGTCCATAAATATAGTTGTTAAAGGCGACCAGTAATAGCCAGCAAAGCATCGAGGCTGCGTCTCGGATATGACACATGTAAATATAGGTAATAACTGCCGCTAAGCAGCAGTGCGTGTACTGCTGTGTTCCGTTCTGAAAAGCATAGAGATCTAGTTTATTTATAGACCCAGAGGCATTCCATCTCAACTCTCAACCCCAACTTCCAGCGAGCACATAGCCCACCTGATGGTGAGTGGATGCTGTAGCCCATAGAGATTTACATCCATACCTCGATTAAGAATCAAAATGCAGATGCGTTGTTTTTTTTGTCACCCCTGAGGACTAAGATGGATTTTTTTAACGAAGAGGGGGGCAAATGAGCACGCGACCCACCTGATGGTAAGTGATTACCGCCGCCCATGAACAAATGAAAAAAAAAAACACTAGGAGAATTGCAGGTGCGTTGCCGGCTTTTTATAAAGGAGTAAGCTCTTTCCTTGAAGGCCCCTAAGTCGTATCGGTCCGGAAAAATCGCCGGTGATAAACGATTCCACAGAGAGGATATACGGGGAAGAAAACTTCTAGTAAAACGTACAGTAGTGGACGGCCAAGCATCTAGATAGTGTGGATGGTATCGTGAGATTTGTCGCGATGTGCGTTCGTGAAATTTGGCGGCTGGATTTAATCCGAACAATTCTTCAGAGCACTCCCCGTGATAGATGCTATATAAAATGCAAATCGCTGCAATATCGCAGCGCCAGTAAATCGAGGCGATCAGAGAGGATTCGGTCGTCGACGATTCGAGCTACTCTGCGCTGGATGCGGTTAAGTCGAAGGAGTTGGCTCTGGGGAACCCCGGCCCAAAGATGGGAACAGTATTCCACGTTTGGTAGGACCGGCGCCTTTTAAAGTTGCGGGCTGAATGCCTGGTATCCAGTTAAAGGTATTAGGTTTCATCAGATGGACTGTTAGTTCGTTTGTAAATTTGTCATTTAAATAAAAAAAACATCATA